ATGAAGTCTATCATGTATTCAATATATTTAAAAATAATAATTAATTGTTCAAATTCATTTAATTTGTGAACTATAAAATTTATTAATTTAATATCCGCTACACAGAGTAAAATCTGGCTCCTAATTCTAGGATTGCAGACTTTTCCATATAATGAGAATAAAAAATAAGTAAACAAAAAGGAGAAAATAAAAAAAATAAATAGAGAGAAAAATAAAAATGGGAGAAAATAAAAAAAATAAAAAGAAAAGAGAGAGGAATGTGGGATCATGAGATTATAAAAGGATGGGTGAGAAAAGGAAAAAGTAAGAGAGAGAAACGGGAAAATAGAAAATGTATATGTACGATATTTTTTGAAAAATATATCTTAGCCATTGTTTTATAAATTGAATAGATCTGAGTCGCTCAAATGTCCTAGTAGGACAAATGTGTGTAGGACAAATTCAAAAATCATCATACTTTATTATATACATGTTGAAGATTTATATGAGATCTAAATTTATGGAGTCTATCATGTATTCGATATATTTAAAAATAATAATTAATTGTACAAATTCATTTAATTTGTGGACTATAAAATTTATTGATTTAATCTCCACTACACAGAATAAAATCTGGCACCTAATTCTGGGATTACAGATTTTTCCATATAATGAGAATAATAAATAAGTGAACAAAAAGGAGAAAATAAAAAATATAAAAAAAACAAATAGAGGGAAAAATAAAAATGGGAGAAAATAAAAAAATAAAAATAAAAGAGAGAGGAATGTGGGATCATGAGATTATAGAAGGATTGGTGAGAAAAAGAAAAAGTAAGAGAGAGAAGCGGAAAAATAGAAAATGTACATGTATGATATTTTTTGAAAAATATATCTCAGTCGTTGTTTTATAAATTGAATAGATCTGAGTCGTTCAAATGTCCTAGTAGAACAAATTCAAAAATCATCCTGCTCTGTTATATAGATGTTGAAGATTTATATGAGATCCAAATTTATGAAATCTATCATGTATTCAATATATTTAAAAATAATAATTAATTGTTCAAATTCATTTAATTTGTAGACTATAAAATTCATTAATTTAATCTCAACTACACAGAGTAAAATCCGGCTCCTAATTCTAGGATTGCAAATTTTTCCATATAATGTGAATAAAAAATAAGTGAACAAAAAGGAGAAAAATAAAATAAAATAAAAAACAAATAGAGAGAAAAATAAAAATGGAAGAAAATAAAAATAATAAAAAGAGAAGAGAGAAGAATGTGAAATCATGAGATCATAGAAGGTTGGGTAAAAAAAGAAAAAGAGAGAAAAACAGGAAAATAGAAAATGTATATGTAGGATATTTTTTGAAAATATATCTCAGTCGTTGTTTTATAAATTGAATAGATCTGAGGTGTTCAAATGTCCTAATAGGGCAAATGTGTGTAGGACAAATTCAAAAATCATCCTACTTTATTATATAGATGTTGAAGATTTATATGAGATCTAAATTTATGAAGTCTATCATGTATTCAATATATTTAAAAATAATAATTAATTGTTCAAAGTCATTTAATTTGTGGACTATAAAATTAATTAATTTAATCTCCACTGCACAGAGTAAAATCTGGCTCCTAATTCTGGGTAATTCTGGGATTGCAGACTTTTACATATAATGTGAATAAAAAATAAGTGAACAAAAAGGAGAAAATAAAAATTAAAAAAAACAAGTAGAGTGAAAAACAAAAATGAGAGAAAATAAAAAAATAAAAATAAAAGAGAGAAGAAGGTGAGATCATGAGATCAGAGAAGGTTGGATGAGAAAAGGAAAAAGTAAGAGAGAGAAACAGGAAAATAGAAAATGTACATGTAGGATATTTTGAAAAATATATCTCAGTCGTTTTATAAATTGAATAGATCTGAACCGTTCAAATATCCTAATAGGACAAATGTGTGTAAGACAAATTAAAAAAATCATCTTGCTTTATTATATAAATGTTGGAATCAAGATAGCAAATTGTAAGCAATCCGGCACCAAAATCCTGTGTTGTGGTCGGTACACCAAATAATTACTTTGTTATGACCTGTTTGGTTAAGATTTTATAAGATTTGCTTGTAAATTTTTATTTATTTATTTTCACACCCTCTATCAGATTATTTGATTCAATCTTGTTTATAAATAATTTTTAAAAAGTTAAAAAAATTCATTATCAAAAAACTGAAAAAATAATTTTTTTATTTTTAGGTGTTTGGAATTGACTTTAAATTTTTTTTTTTTTTGTTGGCTTTTTATGTTCTGTAAAAAAATATAAAATTTCAAAAATATTTACAAACGAATTAGATAAGGAAAATTACAATGCAATGCACACTTAATCTGAGATAAACTAAAAGTGATATATATTTGGTTGTTTGTCTAACCTTCACTTTTCTAACCAAACAATAGACTAGTAAATCTATTAGGCATGAAGTCCAATCTCATGCATCAATGTTTAGGGGTGAGCATGGTCCGGATTAGACAAGATTGGGATAAAACCAGGACCAATCCGTTATCTACGGTTCCTAAAAAATTGAAACCAATCCAATCCATTTAAATCATGGAACCAATCCGAACCAATCCATTTAAATACGGATTGAATCGGTTTAGGACCACGGATTCAGATAATTAAATAACAAAAATATATTTATTACACTTTAATTTTATAAAAATATAAACATAGCGCTATATTAGCTCCACAATAGCAACATATTTTTCTATAATAGCGACATACTGTTCTAAAATTTAAACAACCATAAGAAAATTGGTTTCACTATAAGTATTTAAATCATTACAAATTAAAACTAAAAACCAACAAACAAGAGTAATAAAAGAAGATATTATACGGTTTTAGGTTTGAGTTTAGATTTTATATAGAATTAAGAGAAGATACTATGTGGGAGGATGTATAATAAAAATATAGACTATTTGTATACGGTTCGGATCGGTTTCAATCCGGAACCGTGGTGTTCAATCCAGAACCAATCTGTAGACTACGGATTTTTAATTCTTCAATCCAAAACCGAACCGCGGATTCAAAAAACCAATCCAAACCTATCAGATTGGACTGGACTGGATCGGATTACGGATTTCACGGATCACTTGCTCAGCCCTATCAATGTTGATTAGAAAATTTTGAAATTTTGCAAAAAATTCACAAAAAATCTATATGTTTTTTGACTTTAGTGAATTATTTAATTGAAAAAATATTTTTAAATCTTTTAAGAATCTAAAAAAGTTTACTAAAAACAAAATAAAAAATACTACACAAATATTTAGCTGAACACCAAACCAATCCGAATTTTTTTTATGAATAATCTAAAAAATTAAACTATTTATGACAATACCTAAATTCCCAAACTATTTATCAAATTAATTGATTTTTTTAAAATTATATGTTCAAAGTTCAACTTCACCCTAACGTGTCCCATGTCTACAACACGGTCATGTCAATATGAAATTTCAGCTTTAAGATACGATTTTACTATGGAATCACATTTTCAACAATGTTATTTCATTTTATACTTATATTTTTTAAAAAGTCAAAATAATTTAAATAGTTTGAAAAGTAATTTACTTAAATGAACAATTTAATTTTTTAGAATATTTTGAAGGAAAAAAAAAAAAAAAAACTCAACCAAACATAAATGTCTCTCCCTCTTCATTACAGACAAGAAAAGAAATGAAAAGATTATAGTTACGTACTCGAGTGAGAGAAAATGGGTCGCATCCTGCAAGGGTGAGCTAACTCCAAAAATTCATCCTCAGCTTGGAATCGCTAAATAAAGAAAAGATGCTTATTTCTTTCTCTGAGTCTTACAATTTTGTGATCGATAGTTGTTTGATTGGCATACCATACCAAGCTAACACTGGCCTACTTTTATTTTGAATAGTGAACATACCAATTTGACTGCTTTACTAGGCTGATAATATTGAAGTCCAGGTATTTTTATCTTCCCTAAACAAACAACATGCAATTATGTAATATTGTTGGATATATCCCTGTGGCAGTCAAATTGAACAGTATTTTGCTGGGACCTAGATTCTCTCTAGCACTTTCTTCATCCAACAGTCAGTTCAAAAGCATAGGCTGGATAAAGAAAGTGAAGCAGAGAATCCACGTCCATTTTTCCGAGGCCAATTTGAGACATCAACAATAACTGACCTACTAACAGCAGCATAACCAACCTGCTTTCAAACAACAGCTAATGGCTGTGATGTGCTGCAGCACACTATTTCAGGTGGTAAAAATTTTTCGTCAAATAAGATTTTAAAATTAATCAAATTAAACAAATTTTTTTAAAAAAAAATTTTCAAAACTTATTTGATTTATAAATTTTTTAAATAATTTTTTTTTATATACATCAAATCAATTACTTTTTTTAAAATTTTCTCTTAAAATAATTTTTTAAAATATTTTTTTAAAAAAAAAATTAAACCAAATAAATTTTCGTACTTTTTATCTCAAAATATGTTTTTCAAATACAAACCAAACAAGCCTGTGTTTGGTTTGGCAAAATGGAAAAAGCAGGGAAAGAAGAGTAGGGGAGCTTCTATTTACACATCCACCTTCCCCTCTTTGCACACACTTCATAAAAATTATTTTTATTATAAATTTTTTTTTCAGGTGAAATTACTATTATAGACATCAAATAAACCCATTCGGAAGTTGATTGTCGAAAAAATAATAAAAATTCGGAAGTCTACTTCCAAACCAATTGTTTATTTTCGGAAAGCTACTTCCGAACCAATTATTTATTGAAAAAGATGTGTAAAGAGGGGAATGGGTGTGTGTAAATAGAAGCTCCCTGCCACTAGCCACAAGACCACTGGTCAAATGACAATTTTAATGTTTCCTTCATAAGAGGAAAAATTAACATAAATAGTAAGTCTTGAAACCTGAAAGACAAGCATAAATACTAAAGCTGTGTTTGGATATTAGATTTGTGGAGGGAAAAAAATAAAATAAAATAAAATAATTAACTTCTACTTCATTTCTCTTTTCCCTTTCCTCCACAAATCCAAGATCCAAACTCAGCCCCAGAGTAAGGCTCCTATTTGCTTACTTTGGGTCGAGCACCAACTTCTGGACGTCCTTAATTGCTGAACTTGCAGCATATAGTGAGATCTTTCCGACCTGCATCAAAACCCACTTAGAAACTAAGAAAATTCAGTGACATAAACAGGGCCATAAAGCTAATCGACATAGAAGAAATGAAAGAAGAGAAAAGGGGCTGAAGAGGAAGAAAAAATATTAGCGAGAAGGAAATGGAAGACTGCATTTCCTTCGCCTCACCTCCAACATTTGAAGCTTCGCATCATGGTCATTTGGAAGACTGCGTATTTCCTCAGCCAACCTCACAGCCTCATCCAGACTTTCAGGAGATAAAAAATCAAGCCCCAATTGTACAGTGGACTGCAAATTTACAAAGAACAAAATAGAAAGGCAGAAATAGCTACAATTAACTTTCACAATAATAACCATTTTACACAAAAATGCATATATTTTTATGGACTTTGATTGATTTTATTCTCTTTCTTTTTTGTAGTTAAATCTCCACCATCGAAGCCCCTACATGTTTCAACTTTTACTCACCTGAAGATTCCTCACTTGGAAAGGACATCCAGCAGGGATAAATACAGCTTGTCCCAAATGCTGTTCAAATGACCATGGCTCTATCCCTGAAAGGATAAAACTTTATTTGAATTTGACTTTGTTGTATCAAAAAAACACATATCCAGTCGTGAATCAGCAATTAGTACAATTCCAGTATCTCTGACTTTAGATCCAGTGATCCTTGGCCTTGAGAATTAGCATTTATTTAATTTCCAGTATTTTTGTTATTCAACACTATTGATACAAGGCCAAAGAATACTGATTCAATTCTCAGGGCCCAAATTATAAGCATCACACCTTTCAAGATGCTCTTAAGGGTTGTCACAAGTAGTCCAACTTGAAGAACCAAGTTTGGCCAATTATACTTTTCAAACAAAACCAGTTTGCAAAAACATCTAAACCAACATTACCGCCTGGGCACATTCTATGTGTTGGACAAATGCTGTTTAAATAAAGAAGTCAGACTACTAATCCTTAAAATTGTAATTGATAGCTTCCCTTACCAAATTCTTCCTTCAGTTTTCTTTTATGATGCCTGTTAAGGAATATTTCCGCATTATATAGAGGACGTGTTGCCTGGGATACAAAGAGTATAATCAGCACATGCACCAAAATACAAATCAACAATGCAGAGAGAAGAAATTTGGAATCTTGAGTTACTAAAAACAAGCAGTTAAACTTACACACTCATTTAGTAGATTTTCAGGCTTCCCAATGTCCTTCCAGTGAACTCTCAAATACTCAATCAGTTTTGGAACATCCTGCCGACGAAAGACATCCCAAAGTGCTCCTCGATGAGTATTTTGAGATATATCTCCACTAGCCATGTTCAAGTCTTCATAATCAACAGTTTTCTCTTCACGAGTTGTAGATTTAATTCCTTGATCCTCCATTCTCTCATCCTTATTTGCATCTATCTCAGCCTCATAATCATTCTGTCTATCCTGTACACCAACTGATAATTTAGGTGACCCTCCCTCATCTAGACTAATATGTGGACCTGTTGGTGATTCTTTTGTCTCAGCTCCCTCAAGGGCTTTTTGTAACTTCTCAATCTTTGTCCTCTGCCAACCTTTCAGCTTTACTTCAGAAGTATGCACCAAAAGGTATACCTGACCAGACCATAGTGAATGAGATGGTTATCCAAATTATTCCACCACTTTGCAAAATCACTTTAAATAAGAAAAACCCACCAAAAGGGAAAAAATACACAAACATTCCATTCTGGGGTACTGAACTAAAGATACCACATTTCAGGGGTTGAATTCCCACCTATTTCATTTGTTCAATTGCAATAACACTCAAACATAGCAGTCAATGAATCTTTCAATATTCAAAATGGTGATATGTTTGTTTGGTACAAAATTCTGCTCCTCAGATTGTTTCTTAGAATGTGCAAGTTTGAAACTCAATACTATGATAAATTCGTAATGTACATATATGATACTAAAAAAAGACTATTCAAGGTTCTAGCTCAAAAAGATAAAATATTCAATATTTAAACCAAAATAATGTTAGGACTGCATGTCCTCGTAGACAAAGGAAGAACAAGGACAGACAACAATAAGAAAGCAAAGCATACATGAAGGAAGAAATTATAAAACTACAAGTAAATTTATCATATTAGATGCAATGATCAAGGGAAGATATTTCTCGAAGTACAATGGAAGTAGCTCACTTAGAAAGGAGAACAAGGACCTCACCATGTCACGCATACTGAAATGGAGATTGTCCACTGAATCACCTCTCCCAAGTTCCTCATACATCCCATAAGAAACAAAAATCTTAGGGCCAACATCATTTTGCAAGGAATAATGAGGCAATTTCGCAGCAACATTCAAGAGACCCCACTTGGAATGGATGTACTCAAGCAATGGCAGTTTACTAATAAAGTCAGGTCTTTGATACAACAAAAACTCTTCAGACGCACTGGGAGAAGGCCAATCCTTCAACTTTAACATTTGTGGCCAGCCATTTTCATGGATTCGACCCTCTGAGTATCCCTTGATGAACTGACCAAGCTCAATATTAACCTGCCACCACATCAAGCAGTGATAATCAGGGCATTTGGTATGAAATAACAACAAATTAGCAACCGAACAATATGAAAAACAGACATAATAAATGAGATCCAGAATTAATAGACAGATAATATATATATATATATAAAAACAATCATAGGTCAGTTTTATCTATTCCATAATTGGGAGTTTGAATTTGAAGCCTACCTCAGAACAGTCTAAGCAATCTATAGCCTTCACAATTCTGTTATCATCTTTCGTTTTCTCCTCTGTTGTCTCTCGAATCCCTCTCCATATAACCATGGGATCCCAGCTTGACATTGATGAGCCATCAAAAACCTCCTTAACAATAACAGGTTCACCCCAGAGCCAATGCTTTCTAAAATCTCGAACCCCTTCAACTTTTATATCTTCAGAAGTTGGACAATACAAGAAATTATCATTGCTGTTCTCTCTATGTGCATATTGGCAGAGCCTAGAGTTAAATCCAGTTTCTTGTGGACTCTCACCATCATTAACCTTACAGCCACTAACCATTTCCTCCGAATTTTTTACCAGTTTTGCAACCCAATTCATCTTAAAGATTCGTTTTAAGGTCATTGACAGGCAACCACAACCGCCGTACTCCTTTGGTGGGCACGGAATACTTCCATTGCTGTTGGATTTCCAATTGGGGAACTTGTCTAATAACTTCAACCTAAGTTTAGATGGTTTAACTTGCTCTGACACGGTTGTTTTGCAATCAGTTCTCCCAGCAATCTGATTTTCTACCTCTCCTTTGATACCAAGCATAGATGCTTCCCTAAGATCTTGGCAGCAGCTAAGACACAGATCATAAGAGCAATTCGCACAGTGCCGGTGATAATCAATAATGGGTATCCTACAAGAATCGCTGCAGGAAAAAACATATCCATAAACCATATGTCATAAGTGCACATGATACTTCTAAACCTTCTAACAAATTAGGCCCCAGCAAGAAGGCACAAAATCAACTAGATCTTCATCATGCAAAATATAAAAATAAAGACAAAAAACAAGAAAGAACAAAATTCTAAAATCAAGTGATCATGACAAACAAGAGCGCATAGGTAAAACCCATATTATTGTCTGAGATTCAGATTCTATGCAGAAACACAATTAAATGCAAAGACAACTGCTTGGAATGGCGTTACTGAGTGTTTCGACAGGTGGTAAGCTCACTTCTATTAAAAATACAATTGCTAGTCTTCCTACATATTTTATGCCCCTCTTCACCATTCCAGCTTCCGTGGCTGAGAGATTGGAAAAGATGCAGAAGAATTTCTTATCGCGCGAGCTTGAAGACAAGTTCAAGTATCACCTAAGAAGACACAGATACGATATAATACAGACACACCAACACATCAATTTTCAAAAAACAACCAGGATACGACATATTTTTGGTGAGGGGCTATAGTAGTGTTTTTGCACACTGTATAAATCTAGTGTACGTGAGTGCACCCACTAGGTGCTTTTTAATACATGATTAACTTACCAAACCAAAGCAAGGCTTGTATTCCGAATTCCAATCAAGTGGGGTTTAATACATTTTTAACTTATCAAAAATAATGCATATAGCAAATATATGTTGTGAGAGTACCAGCACATCTGCTCATCTGCGTTCAATTTTGTCCTGGGAAGATCTATCTCATTTCCTGGAGAGAATGTATAGAAGGTCATCTCATTGTGAATGTAACATGTAGATAAACCTTTAAACACCAATATGCTATTGGAAAATCAAATCTTCTCACCTCGAAGCTTTCTTTCCAGCTCCACTTCAAGGCACTGTTCATGATGAATCTGCTTAACTACAGGAAGGACTGACGACAAGAGGCAATGAAGATACTGCAACTTGTCCTGGACAGGTATCTCCCGTATACGTACCTGTTATGTTACACAACAATTTCGTGATAATTCTTCACACAATTTCTACAATTCATTAGACAAATTAAAAATATATCTTTCACAAAATTAAAGAAAGTTAAACAATGCATTCAACAGAAGCCCCTTCTGAAAATAAATGAATACCTTTATCAAATTATCTCTCCGTAAGCAGACCTTGCAATTACAAGTACCACGGCATGCAGGACAAACCCTCCGGATCTCTTCAAACGGGATATCAGAGTACCTAATAAATGACACACATATAGTTACCCAATTGCCGGTTTGGAAAATGTTTATTTTTTACTGAATTATTAATCTCACCAAGTAGAGATGCAGCTATCACAGTATCCTCTCCTGTCACATCTAAGGCACCAAAAAATACTGTCATTATCATTCCGCTGACACTGATGGCAAGTTTGTCCAACAGTATCGTCAGAGGAATCCGAGCTTCCATCTGAGGTTTCCTGAAAAGAAAGAGCTCGTTTTGGAAGACAGAAAACAAAAATGAAGAGAAGAATGCCTATCAGTGTGTTGACAGGGCAACTATTAGCCAGGCCCACCTAAAATCACTTGCCGCAATTAGCAGCAATCTGATCATCATGGTAATCCAATCCTAGGAATCGATATTTCGATAAAAAAGTTAGAAGTATGGATTCCATGACCTTACGATCATAATGATTTCGAGCCCACACAGTTTTACAAATTAGAGCATTCCAGACTTCGCTGCTTGCTTTTGGTTATTCTCACTTGTCTTGAACCCCCAGACTTCCCCCTATCCCTATTGAATCTTATGATCATAGCTTCACTGAAAGTACAATTGGAAATACAAATGCTACTGGAATTAAATGACTAGTAACCAATGCAGGGGAATGATCACATATTTCTAAGGTCCATCCAGCTAGAAAAACTGAAAGAATAAAATCACGGAGTTCTTTTGTTGTTTTGGCATCAATGAGAAAAGGATGTTAATAGGCGTATTGTTGTTCTCAAGAAGGATTCTTCAAATGTAACTGCATAGTACCATAAGATGACAACTGATCCTTGAAGGTTCCCTAGTGCACAATTGAAAGAGATGTGTGCCCTTTTCTAGTGTTGAAAGGTTAGCTAATAGCAACAAATAAGTATCGAAGAACAAAAGAACATAGTAAAACTTTTTGTTAGCGAATCAATCATCATTAGCAAAAAAGCATTCAGATGTGTGTCTTCTTGAATGCATTTTCTTAGAGTACACCCTTTCAGTTGCCTCTCAGATAGTTTTACACTGCTCTCAAACAATCTTTTACCAGTGACATAATGGTGATATTTGATAATGACAATGATAACAATAGCGTCAATAATAGAAATATTATGTTAAAATATAACAATCCAACTCACCATCATAGCACTAGCATCAAAGACTTTTTGTGATTTGTTTTCAGATGGCTCGACATAAGGAGGTGGTGTCTTGTATGACCTGACATTGTCTTCATATTGCATCCCATCAATTTGTAGATCTTCACTTCTCGTTGAAGGTGTTTCAGGTGAATGATGAACCTTGTTTTTTGGTATTTTTTCCTTGTGTTTTTTCCGCGAGACTGAAACAGGGTAATCCTCGTCTTTTGCATTAATAAGTGGCATATCCATATCATCACTCTTACTCTCCAAAAAGATATCACTCTCACCCAAAGATTTTCTCTTGGCTTTCTTTAGACTGGCTCTCAATGCAGAATTTGCAGCTCTTTTCTTCGCTTGGATATAGTGCTTCTCACAAACTGTTTTATCAGGCATAGACATGGCAGTACATCTCCACTGTTTCCCATCAGACCTCTTGCAACGCAAATCATCCGGAATCCCAATATTATCATCACCACCCCCACTGGTTGATCGTGGATGATCCGTCATAATTATGTTTTTAATGGCAGCCTAACATGTGCAAAAAAAAATATATACTACAAGTCTACAATCAACCTGCAAGTGGGCAAACCCAAAACATTACAAGCCAAGACATAACAATCAAAGGTAAGTTCTAATCAACAAACACCAGGTGCTTAACAAATAAGAAACGTAAAACCAGATAACTGTGGCAAATCTCCAAGAAACACACGGGTTGCACACACAACTAGCAGAGAGGGGGTTGAAAAACTATGCAACAGATATGCATCTTTTCATAAATATGAACCTACAAGCCTCCATATGTTACATGGACTCTTCAAAATAAATCAAATAATCATGTTAGACACCCAACACTAAGACAAAGGTGTGGGATATGTGTCCAATACTTTCCATTGGATACTTCTTATATATTTGTATTTAACCCTATATCATTATAAGTATATGTTGTTGTATAATTGTTTTAGGAAATAAGTAAAATTCATTTTTGACACTGTATATTACATGTGAAACAATTTTATCTCACATAACAAATTAAAAATAAAAAATTATGACCTTTTTATGCCGAGTCCACATACCCATAAATTTGAGGTTTGATACCTCCCGACACCCCGTACCCAAAGTCCATGTAACATAGTCCTCATCTACTCATTTATCAATGCAATGAGATGATATGATGATCTTTCCCAGTTATATGAAGCAAACTGATATCATGAATAGGAGATGTGTGTAAAAACACAATTCTTGAACCCAAATTCAATTGGCTAATATAAAAATCATGAATTTCCTCCAAACCAAATTAATCCTACACAATTAAATGAGGTTGGCTACATAAATTCTTTTTTCTGCTCCATCAAGTGCTATATGCTTGTAATTTCCTTAAAAAAATTATTAAAAAAATTTATTTGTAGAAACATAATTAATTACCATTGAAGGGTTTGCTGTGGTCACTGCGCAAATATATTGTGAAAATAGATGCAAAAAATCAACTAATTCTGACAAAACTTGTGATTCAACAACTAATTTAATCAATAACAATAACAACCATTGACATAGCTTGTTGCGCGCGCGCACACACACACACACACACAGACCTGGAAGTGAGTGAATGTTGTGGAGATCGCCGGCAAAGAGAGCGAGAGGGGTTTGGTAGGAGAGGTCGATTACTTAGCTTTCCACCATTGACGGTGAACTGTGTTGGACACAAGATTTGAACCCTCAATCTTTGCGGAGACGACACGGATCGATTCGAAACAAACCCACAAACAGAGCGGTTCAATTGCAAGTCCGGTTCGCTTCGTGAAACAGTGACGCCCATTTGGCCGCGAAAGTTCAATAAATTATTAGGCCGAACATTTGTGATTTGTGAATGAAGATGGTAAATGATTTTAATAAAAAAGATTAAAATATTTTTATATTTTGGTCATTTATTTAAAAAGTAAAGATTAAAATATTTTTATATTTTGGTCATTTATTTAAAAAGTAAAGTATATTTTAATTTATTGTATTTTATTTTATATGTGATTTATCTTTTTGAAATTTAAGCATTAGTATGTGATATCTTTATATTTGTCATGTATTTCATATTTACTGTTAAGTTTGATGGAATATTAAACGGCTATTAATGGTGTACTTCAATTCACAAATTACATGCGGATTATGTGATTATTTCCAAATATTAAGAGGGTAAACCGCATATAACTCAAACCATAATATGATAAAATGTAGTTTGCCTTTATTATTATTTTATATTTTTCGCAATAAAAAACGTTGGCCTTCATTTATTTGTGTTTTGAGATATTATTTGAAAAATAATTTTTTTAAGAGAGTTTAGAAAATTAAACTTAAAAAAATTGTTTTGTTTTGTATTTTGAAAATAATTTTGAGTTTTGAATGATTTGATATTTTTTTGTAATTGAATAGATGAGTATGAGAGAAAAAAATAATTGAGAAGGAGAGATAAGAGAAAGAAAAAAATGATTTTAAAATTTTTTTTATTTTATTTTCAACCACGCATATTTTTAGATTTTTTTTTTTCAAAAAACGTGTTTTTAGAGACAACCCAAACATGCTCGTTAAGCCAACCAAATTATTTGTGTGCAATCTGTAAAATTTACATATATTATAAAAAAAAAATTAAGGTATTTGATTTAAATAGTTAAAAAATCGTTCAAGATTAATTTAAACATAATTTTTAATTTATTAAATTATCAAATTAAATTTTAACAATTTATTACTCGACTTTTTTTTAGCCCTAAATTATAGTGTTGTGTGATGACAATGCATAAAATTCATTGAATAAATTAGATTGACTTCCTATGAAATTTAGAAAAATACACAATAAATCTCTCAATTTTAACATAACTTTGCTAACTTCTTTTTTTTAGTAATGTTAAATAAACTAAAATTAATGCAAATGCAAATGGAGCGAAAACATAAAAATAAACAACGTAAAGTATATATTTTTATGTAAAATATATGTAGGACAATCTTCACTGTATTTAAATAAATTAAATTCTGTTGTGTACTAAACAACAACCAGAATATAAAGAAATAAAGGAAATGAGAAAATTTGTTTGATTACAAAAATCAAACTTGAAATAAAAATAAATAAATAAAAATAGATTTTATTTTGTTACAAAAATAAAATTAAAATCTGATTTAAATAAACAATAATAACACTGAAAATAAATTAAATAACTTTGATTTAATTTCTTCGAATTATAATCGATCAAGTCCAGTGTTTGACACTGTGTCCTTAAGACAGATTCGTCCTCTCCACGGTGCTTTCAGAATTTGGACGTCTATCTCCCAAGATGAAATGATCTACTACAAACAATAGCAGCACTACAAATTGTTTGCCTTACGAACACACTAAGTTTTTACACTTTTTCTTTCAGAAATTAAATACAGCAAAATGCAGAGATTTATAGCAGATGATGGAGTACGAAAATTTTGAGTTCAATCCAAATGGGAGGCTAGTTTATTTATAGATGTAAAGGTGGCTGTTGGTTTTGAATTGAACAGGTATGAAACCTGTTAGTTTTGAATTCAAACAGATTTGAATCTGTTGGGTTCATAATTTAAACAGATACAAAAACGGGAAGGGCCCTGTTTGGATGTACAGTAAAACCAAACCAGTTTATTTCCGGTTTAATTTGAATTCTGAATTTTATTTTATACAAAATAAAATTAAATTTAAATATTTTTTGCCCAAAAATATTAGTATTGGGCCGAACAAGCCCAACCCAACCTCACACCATGCACCCGCGCCCAAGCTCAGGCCCAGCCCAGCCCGCCTGCCCGACCGAACGGACGGACAGCGACGGCGACGTGCGCGTGTGTGGTGATTTTTGGGTCCAATGGGTCTAGCCCATTTTGCCCATAACCTCTCCCTCTAAAACACTTGGGTACCCCTTGGAGCACACCCCAAGTACCAAACCCAACCCTTATAAATCCATTCAAAACTTCCCACCAAATCAATGTGGGACAAGCCATTTTGCAACCTTAAGGAATTTCCACCAAAACTCCATTTCCATGGAGCATACTTTGGCTTCAATTTTTCATTCACTCGGTAATGGTTTTGAGCAACCAAATATACCACGTGAATCACAACGCGGCATAGAACGCGTTACCACTTTGACCCGCGTAACTCGACGCACGGGGCCCACCTAAAAAATAGACCAAACTTAGGAAAAAATTCTAGTTTTACCCAGAATTTTATAACCATTTCCAATAATCCCCCACATGAATGGAATTTGATGACAACGGAAATGCAACAATATGCAGACTATTGAAAAAGTATAAGTCGAAAATATCTTGCATCAGGATAGATAGCTTTCGGCCTTGAACCTTCCCTAGTGATAACCTATCGGATTTACTGGCTAACCAATGGACGCGATGCCTTGAATTGTTCAGCCGTTTGTGTAAGCTAAGACAATAGATTTCACACAAAATATCTTCTAACACATTGTGGTTCTAACTGTTGTGTTCATCTTAGTCTTGAACGCGCCTGGTTTTCATAAGTGTTTCTAGAGAATTTAGCCTCTTCATTCTCATAGAACCGGCCCCAGTTCAACACTCATATAGGTGATGAGTATCTTCTTATACTCGTCTTGATTTATGTCTCAATCAAGATATAAGTAATCATTAAAAGCAAAGCTTATCCTTATACCCTTGCATACAACATACGTTGCAGATATCACTCTCACCATAGGAATGGGTAGGGAATTTTTAATCCCTTGGTGATTTCTGGCGAGCCATACATAACTTAGTTGTCCCTTTGAACTTAGTTCATGGAATCTCCAGTCATATAAGTGGGGTTACCATTATGACGACTCTTATGTAATAGGCTTTAATCCTATCCCCTTCGATGAACTATACACTAGCTCTTTTGTCAAACCTTTTTGTTAACGGATCCGCAATATTCCCTTTAGATTTTATATAATCTATAGAGATTATTCCATTTGACAACAACTGCCTAACGGTATTATGTCGACAACGAATATGTCGTGACTTACCGTTATACATATGATTCTGTGCCCTGCCTATTGCAGATTGACTATCACAATGAAGGCAAATAGCTGGCACAGGGTTTGGCCACATTGGAATATCCTCTAAGAAGTGACGAAGCCATTCTGCTTTTTCTCTTGCTTTGTCTACAGTAATGAACTCGGATTCCATTGTGGATCGTGCGATGCATGTTTGTTTCGTGGACTTCCAAGAAACAGCAGCGCTTCCTAGAGTAAAGACATATCCACTTGTGGATTTTGAATCTTTAGTATCCGATATCCAATTGGCATCACAATAACCTTCGAGTACTGCTGGATATCGAGTAAAGTTCAAACCATGATCACGAGTAAATCTTAGATATCTAAGAACTCGAATGATCGCTTTCCAATGGTCTTCTCTGGGTTTACTAGTGTACCTACTCAATTTACTGATAGCATAAGCTATATCAGGACGAGTACAATTCATTAGGTACATTAGGCTTCCAATAATTTTAGAGTATTTTAACTGAGACACTGCATCACCTTTATTTTTTGATAAATAAAGATTGACGTCTACAGGTGTTCTAGCTAAATTCATATCATCCTTGATAAATTTATCAAGAATTTTCTCAATATAATGAGATTGAGATAATGCATATCCATCAGATGTTTTAGTAATTTTCATTCCTAATATAACATCTGCGACCCCCATATCTTTCATATCAAATCTTTGTTAAGCATTTGCTTAGTTGATTTGATCATGTTTTGATTGCTTCCAATGATAAGCATGTCATTCACATAAAGACAAACTATGACATATCCTTGGTCAGTGTTTTTAACATAGACGCATTTGTCACATTCGTTTATCTTAAACCCATTAGTAAGCATTGTATGATCAAATTTTTTATGCCATTGCTTATGTGCTTGTTTTAATCCATAAAGGGATTTTACAAGTCGACAAACTTTTTTTTCTTGCCCTAATACTACAAACCCTTCGGGTTGCTCCATATAGATCTCTTCATTTAGATCACCGTTTAAGAAAGCTGTCTTAACATCCATTTGATGTATTTCTAAATTAAACAACGCTGCTATAAAAATAAGCATGCGAATGGAAGTTATTCTTGTCACAAGGAAATATGTGTCAAAATAGTCCAAACCTTCATTTTGTCTGTAACCTTTAACTACAAGTCTTGCTTTATACTTGTCAATTGAACCATCTGCTTTCATTTTTCTCTTGAATGTCCATTTATATCCAAGAGGTTTAAAACCTGGTGGAAGATCCACCAATTCCCAAGTATGATTTTGCATAATGGATTCAATTTCATTATTAACAGCCTCTTTCCACAAAGGTGCTTCAGGACCTGTCATAGCTGCCTTAAAGCTTTGAGGTTCATTTTCTAACAAGTATGTCAGAAAATCTGGACCAAAGGATTTTGATGTTTTAGCTCTCTTACTTTGTGTACAATCATAAGTTCTTTTCTGTGAACTTAATGGAGATATAGAGATAGGATGTATCTATATGTAGAACCTCTGGTTTTTGCTTCCAAGTCTCTAACCTAGAGCCAAGAGGAGAGCCATCCTCTTATAGAACTCCCTCTTGCAAAGCTTATACAACAAGCTTGCTTAGAGGGAGGCAGAGTTGGTGCCAGCTATCACAGCTGGCACAAAATATCTACATAAAGTAGATGAACAGTGGTCGGCTGCCCAAAAATGTCATTTCGACAAAAAACA